GCGTTTCCGTGCGCTGCTCTGGTTCGCCAGAAGCAGTTTAGTCATGCTGGCCACGTGACCCGGAAGCTGTACGCCGGCTCCCTCAGCCAATAAAGCAAGATGAGCGCCGCAACCCCAGAATCGGCCACGACTGGACCTAATGGTCAGGGGTCCCTTTACCTTTACCTTAGCTGCAAGCCATGTTGAGTCCCGGTCATGGAAGAACTCAACATCATCATCATCATCATCATCATTATTATTATTATTATTATTATTATTATTATTATTATTATTATTATTATTATTCCTGGTGAGCACAGAGGACGATGAGCCAGAGGAAGACATGCTTTCCGCGAAGTCTGAGGCCCCATTTCCATCCTGGATGCTGGACCAAGGAGCGAGCCTTGTTCCCGCGCTCAGCCAGACGGGCCAAGGGCACCACCTAGCGGCCGTTCCCAAAACCTCACTTCAGGGCGATCTGAGCCCGGCGCCTTCTGCTTCTGGAGCACCCGAGGAGGAGCTGGCGGGTGGGCGCCCAGAGCTCTCCCCCACAGATGCATCAAACAGAAGTAGCAAGTTTGTGTGACACAAACCTGTCACACAGAAAGAGGTGGGCGGGCAGGGGCACAAATGATCTCCCTGCACAGAGTTTGAGTCTGGGAGAAAACCTCTGGGAGAGGAGGATTGTAAGGTTCCTTGAGCCTCAGCTGTTGATGCCCCAAACGCTTCCAGGATAGATGGCTGCAATGCCCTGGGCATGGTGCGGCCCCTGGAGACGGGCCAGGAAATAAATAAATAAATAAATAAATAAATAAATAAATTTTATTTATACTCCGCCCTCCCCAGCCAAGACCGGGCTCAGTGCAGCTAACAACTGATCCAAAAACAAATTGATTAAAATACAACATTAAAACATTAAAATGCAGCCTCATTTCAATGGAAACTCAAATCAAAAACTTTTTTGTGGGGATGAAAACATCAGGTCGTCACCAAGGCCAACTATCCAGACTGGTCCTACGTGGGCCAGAAAAACGCCAGGGAAGTCCCCAAATAGGAGTTCCATCACAGGAGGAGAAAGGAAAAAGGAAGAGGGGAGAAGGGGATCAAGTTGATTCCAAGCCAAAGGCCAGGCGGAACAACTCTGTCTTACAGGCCCTGCGGAAAGAAATCAGATCCTGCACTCAGGAGACAGAGCGTTCCACCAAGCCGGAGCCATCACTGAAAAGGCACTGGCTCTGGTTGAGGCTAATCTGACTTCCTTAGGGCCCGGGACCTCTAGGGTGTTGCTCTTTATGGACCTTAAGGTCCTCCATGGGGCAGACCAGGAGAGACGGTCCCGTAGGTACAAGGGTCCTAGGCCGTGAAGGGCTTGAAAGGTCAAAGGTAAAGGGACCCCTGACCATTAGGTCCAGTCGTGGCCGACTCTGGGGTTGCGGCGCTCATCTCGCTTTATTGTCCGAGGGAGCCGGTGTCCAGCTTCCGGGTCATGTGGCCAGCATGACTAAGCCACTTCTGGCGAACCAGAGCAGCGCACGGAAACGCCGTTTACCTTCCCGCCAGAGCGGTACCTATTGATCTACTTGCACTTTGACGTGCTTTCGAACTGCTAGGTTGGCAGGAGCAGGGGCCAAGCAACAGGAGCTCACCCCGTCGTGGGGATTCGAACCGCCGACCTTCTGATCGGCAAGCCCTAGGCTCTGTGGTTTAACCCACAGCGCCACCCGCGTCCCTGAAAGGTCAAAACCAGCACCTTAAATCTGACCCTGTACTCCCCCGGGAGCCAGTGAAGCTGGAAAACAGGAAACAAGAACGGGCTCAGAATGCTTTTGCCTGCTACACGCAGGTGATGCGAGGACAGGCTCCCGGTTTGCTCCCAGGCACATCCCCCGGGGCTGCCGCCTTCCACCTTTCCATGCCTCCCTGCCCCTGACCCTGCAAGGAGACCTGCCTTCAGCTTCAAAGGCTGCCTCCCCACCCCCCCTGAACGGGGTCACGAGACCCTTTCCTCTGAGTTAGTCACAGCCTGGAGCTGCGATGGGCTCAGACTGCTCTTCTTCCGCCCACTGCTCTTATTCTTAGCACGCCGCGTCAGAATTTTGTTTGTTGACTTCTCTCCGTATTCGGTGAGCTGCCTCCAGAGGGGATTCATCGCAGGAAGAGGAGGCGGAAGCGCGGAGTAACGGAATAACCCTTGCGAGGCGCAGGGAGGCTCAGGGTCACGCGGGGCAGCGGGCAGGCAACTGCAGGGACCCTCCCCGGGGGGACGAGGGCGAGGGCTCTGGGGCAGAAGGGTCTGCCCCAGAGAAGCTCTTCTGGGTGATTCTGTGGGGGGCCACACAGCCCAACCCCACCCCGCCAGCCTGAAGATGCAGCGCTGCCATCCTCTCAGAAGACCCCTCTGCAAAAACCCAGGAAGACCAGAGCCTTCCTTGCTCCATCGGAGGAACAGGGGGAGGCTGGGCCCTGGAAGGGGAGAAACCCCTTGCAGGGCAGAAGGTGGGTCCCCGCTCTTGCTGCTACAGGGGGGCTCAGCCCCACCTTCTGCCTTGCTCTACCGCTCTTTTAAATCGGAACCGGTGAGGGCAGTGAAAATCCGGTGTGAGTGCCTGGAGGCGGTTGAAGGATGGATGGCGACTAACAGATTGAGGTTGAATCCTGACAAGACAGAAGTACTGTTTTGGGGGACAGGGAGTGGGTGGGTGTGGGGGATTCCCTGATCCTGAATGGGGTCACTGTGTCCCTGAAGGACCAGCTGCGCAGCCTGGGAGTCATTTTGGACTCACAGCTGTCCATGGAGGCACAGGTCAATTCTGTGTCCAGGGCGGCTGTCTGCCAGCTCCATCTGGGATGCAGGATGAGACCCTCCCTGTCCACAGACTGTCTCGCCAGAGTGCTGCATGCTTTAGTTATCTCCCGCTTGGACTACTGCAATGCGCTCTACGTGGGGCTACCTTTGAAGGTGACCCGGAAACTGCAATTAATCCAGAATGCGGCAGCTAGACTGGGGACTGGGAATGGCCGCCGAGACCATATAACACCAGTCCTGAAAGACCTACATCGGCTCCCAGGATGTTTCCAGGCACAATTCAAGGTGTTGGTGCTGACCTTGAAAGCCCTAAATGGCCTCAAAGACCCAGTAGACCTGAAGGAGCGTCTCCACCCCCACTGTTCTGCCCTGACCCTGAGGTCCAGCTCCGAGGACCTTCTGGCGGTTCCCTCCCTGCAAGAAGTGAGGTTACAGGGAACCAGGCAGAGGGCCTTCTCGGTGGTGGCGCCCGCCCTGTGGAACGCCCTCCCATCAGATGTCAAAGAAATAAACAACTATCAGGCTTTTAGAAGACATCTGAAGGCAGCCCTCTTTAGGGAAGCTTTTAATGTTTGATGCTGTATTGTGCTTTTAATACTTGGTTGGAAGCCACCCAGAGTGGCTGGGGAAACCCAGCCAGATAGGCGGGGTATAAATAACTACTACTATTATTATTATTATTATTATTATTAATTATTATTATTTCTGGACCACTTCAGAGCTCTGCGTTCCCTGCAGGGCGGTCTGAGCGTCACAAGACGCAGCAGCCCCAGCCCCACAGCGCCACCTCAGCAAGAGGCAAGCCCCACAGAATGGGAGGGCGGAGCTTGGCAGAGCAGGGGCTGGCCACGTTTTCCAAGGCACCACGGCCACTGGGCAGTCCTTGCCTGGAGGGCACACGATGCTACCAGGGTCCCCAAGGGAGAGGACCTGCAGCCACTTCAGAGAATCTTATGGAAGGGACCCCAGGGGTCATCTAGTCCCATCTCAGCTCAAACACAAAAGATGCGAACACATGCAAACACCTCCAGGGAAATCAAAGAGACCTCTCTCTCTCCCTGGAGGTGCCACCTGGAACCAAAGCTCCGGAGGCCCCTTCCCCTTCCCTGCCCCACAGCTGCTATAGAAGCGAAGGTGCCTGGGAGGAAGACCCCCACAGAAACTGGAAACGGCGCCAGCCAGGGCAGAGCAGGCACCTGCAGCAGCCAGTGGGGCGTGCGTGGAAATCCTATTTATTGGATTGCTTTCTTAGAAAGAGTTATCGTCAGCCACACAAATGCACATCATGTTGCAGGTGCTGGTGTGATTTTCCACGCAGCAACACACGCTTTCCTCCCATTACAGACATTGCATCTCCGTAGAAGCTGGCCTATCCATTGCTATTCCGGTAAACAGACAGAACCAAGAGGATCTGGGCCTTAGCAAAGTGGCCCAGTGCCCGAAACTCAGATATATAAGCTACCGCATTTTTCGCTCTATCGGACGCACTTTTTCCCCTCCAAAAATGAAGGATCAGGCTGTGCCTTGGCCAAAGGCCTGGTGGAACAGCTCCGTCTTGCAGGCCCTGCGGAAAGATGTCAAGTCCCACAGGGCCCTGGTCTCTTGGGACAGAGCGTTCCACCAGATCGGGGCCACAGCCGAAAAAACCCTGGCTCTGGTTGAGGCCAGCCTAATCTCCCTGTGGCCCAGGACCTCCAAGATGTTTTTATTTGAAGACCGTAAGGTCCTCCGAGGGACATACCAGGAAAGGTGTCCCATAGGTATGAGGGTCCTAGGCTGTATAGGACTGTATAAGCTCTTCTGCTTCCCTGCTTCAGGAGGCCAGAGGGACCAGCCAGGTGGAGATGCCAGGTGCCAACCTGGAACCCAGAGATCTCCACGTGGGCATGACTGGCCCTGTGCCAGTCAGAAAACATGTGCCTGGGGAATTTCAGACACTGACCAGACCACGTGCCGCTCCCCTGGAGCTCCACCAGCTCTCTCCTGAGCAGGTGAGAATAGACACTGGCGTCGGGGGAGTGAGCCCTGGCCAGGAGCGGGCAGCACCCAGAGATGGCAGCCCGGGCGAGGGGAAGGCAAGGGGGCTTGAGGCTCCAGGCCCCTTCCTGGCTGCCCAGGCCTGTGGCTCTGCTGCCCTGCGTCACCGAGAGAGGGTGCCCGTTTCTCCAGCAACCCTGCACCATATCGGCCTGGCAAAGGCCCCCCCCCTGCCTACCTTGGCCACAAACTGCTTGTCCTTCTGGTCCAGGTTGGCCGTAGGCGCCACATAGTCCCTCCAGATCCTCAGCTTGCGCTCTTTGGCATACCTAGAACACAGTGAAGAATCAGAGTCCAAAGGGGACCAGAGAAACCCCCTCGGAGGAGGAAGAGCCCCCCCCCGCCCTCCTTCCCGCCTGCAAGGCAGAACATTGGGCTGGGCCAGAACCCCGTCACCTGCTGAAAGTATTTTTTAAAGACTGGAATGATTTATTTATTTTTAACATACTTAAAAAGACCACTGTGAACAGTTAAAATCGCTGGCAGGGATATAATGACACTTGCAATGTGAAATGAACTTGGGAAACTAGGAATATATGATAGATAATGTTGATGATGATGATAATAATAATAATAATAAGTATAATATCTGAAGGCAGCCCTGTTTAGGGAAGTTTTTAATATTTAATGCTGTATTGTTTTTAACACTCAATTGGAAGCTGCCCAGAGTGGCTGGGGAAACTCAGCCAGATGGGCGGGGTATAAAATAATAATAATAATAAATAATATAATAATAATAATAATAATAATAATAATAATAATAATAATAATAATAATAATAATAATATATTTATACCCCGCCCGTCTGGCTGGGTTTCTCCAGCCACTCTGGGCGGCTTCCAATGGAATATTAAAATACAATAACCCATTAAACATTAAAAGCTTCCCTAAACAGGGCTGCCTTCAGGTGTCTTCTAAAAGTTTGGTAGTTATTTTTCTCTTTGACATCTGGTAGGAGGACAGTAAAAGACGAAGAAAAAGGAAAAAGAATGTATTTGCTTTGGAAATGAAACCCATGGAGGGAGGGGAGGAGGTCCAAAGATTTGAAAGAGCCTCTTTAATGTTTTTGGAATGGTGAAAGTTAAAATATATAAATTTATGTATAAGCAATAAAAAATTATTTAAAAAAAGAACCCCATCACCTAAAGCTCCCCTTAGCACCTATCCCCTTTTAAGAGGCAGCCCAATCAGAAAGGTGCCCTCTGGGTATTGGTGCCTGCGAAATGTTCTGCAAGGCCTGAAAGCGCCAAGATAAGCCCCCAAATCATGTGAAGCTGCTGCCAGGAATCTGTCTGGATTCACTTGCTCTGTTATCGCTGCACCCAGCCCCTCCCACAAGCCCACCTTTGGGCCGGGGGATCTGGACACCTTCCCCACCTTCTCAATGAGTCCTCCCCCCCCAGCCCCCTCTGTGAAGCAGAACAGGAGCCCCATGGCCCAAGGAGGGCAGGCGGCAGGCTGGGCAGGGCTACCTCTCGGCCGCTCGCAGCTTCTCTGCTCCTCGGGTGTAAACGGCGATGGACCAGTCGACGCAGCGAGCAAAGCCTTCCTTCAGGAGCAGCTCTGTGATGTTCCCATTCTGCAGCCGGGCAAGCGGAGAAAGAGAAAGAGAGAGAGTATGTCAGGGAGCTAAAAACTCCAGCTTCATGGACACACACAACCCCTGAACCCCCCAAGATCCTCGACAGATTACGTTTGCTCAGGGCAAACCTAAATATATATTCGTTATTATCATTATTGCCTTTATTTGTGCATCAGTTCATTCATTTGTTAGATTTCTGTCCTGCCCTGCCTCCTAAAGCAGCCCAAGGTGGCAAAGTGGTAAAAGAGGACAATTAAAAATAAAATAAAATCCATTTAAAATGACAGAACACATCTGAAAACATTGTTATGCTTGCTGATCCAGTTTATGGCCTGCCCTTCCCCATCAGGCTCCAGCAGGGGGGGCAACGACAATGTCAAATTCAATATTAAAAACAAAATTTGTTAAGATGCCTTGAGCTGCCTGCAGGAGGCGAAGGCATCTAATAAATTTAATAAATAATAGTAATAAACTAGTTGCAGGAACACGTAGAAGTCGGGCTGGGCCTCACTTACTTGGGCGCGGGGGGGGGGGGAGAGATTTGCTGCAAAGACTCCTGCCTCCCCCCCAGCCCCTCCCCAGTCTCAAGAGCCACCAGGAGGGAGAGAGTCTGTGTCTCCAGAGGACCAGAGCTCCAGCCCCACTGGCCCCTCACAGAGATGGCCAAGCAGAAGGGCCCAGTGCCAGGCACTGCCCCAAAGACCTTACAATCACCATACGGGGGGGTGAGGATTGTTAGAATTCCTGCTCCGTGATTGCAGTCATGGGATTGTTGTCTATCACATGACGGTGGATGTTTTGACTCCACAGAGTGGGAAGTGACGGAGACAGGATGTTTGTGTTCCTGTGTTCCGTGAAGTGGGACTGTTGTCCTTTGTTCTTATTCTCTTTGCTGTCTGATACTAGAGAGAGAGGGAGCCATGTTGCAGTGCTCCGTGTGTGTTTAGATGTAAATAAAGTAGATTAGCCAAAATGCTGAGTTCTGTTATGCAACTGCGCAAGCTCTGCAGATCCCTAAGTGTGCTGATGTCTGTTGGCATCGGTCGCTTTGATGTTCAGGCTGAAGAAAGCTTTTGAAGCTCCCAAACAAATGACCAGGAGGGAGAGAACATGCCAGTCGGACAGGTGTCTCTGCCAGGGTCCTACTCTAGTGTAGAACGAGCTCCTGACAAGGATGAGGGAAGGGCAGCGAGGAAGACCAAGAGACCTGGCCTGGGGCAGAGGTTGAGAAGGGGATGAGACTCAGCTGTGCCCAGTCTGGAGGGCAATGTGGGGAGATGTGGGGTGCCCAGGGCCCCAAGTCTTCTAACAAGGAGGCCCCCCAACAATAGCTGGCAACTTCTCCCTGTTCTTGTGAGGAATCCTATTCGGAATAAGGGAATTTCCCTTTTAAAAAAGGGAAACATTGACAGCTATGCCCCCAACCTCTTTTCTCCCGAGAAAGCGCCAACCCTGTCAAAAAGGCCAGGCCCTGCGGAAGGGGGGTGTCTTCTGCTCTTCCGTCTCTCGGCCCCCCCAGGCTCTTCTCCTGTTGCCCCCCCCCGCCTGCCCCTCAGGTCCCCAGCACACCCACCCCTGCAAGCCCCTTGAGACCCACCCAGCCCCACGAGTGTAGCCAAGCCCAGACTGGCCTGGACTGACCCCCCTCCCACCAAGAGTCTCCCTCTGGCTCTTGCCCCAAGGAGGAGGGGGGCTCCAAGGAGTTCTCCAGACACCCTATGTCCATCCCAGGGGCCCCACACCTGCCCCCCACCCCCCGCTCTGCACTTGCCGGATGAAGGATGGTGCCCAGAATGTTCTGGTTGTGGCAGCTCTCCAGGACGATCTGCACGTCCCTCTGGAGCAGACGAGACTCCGTGAAGAACTTGGCTTCCGCCGCAAAGGGCTCGGGGGTCTCCGTGCCGTCCGCTTCCCGCTTGAAGGTGGGGCACTGGTTGGGGGGGGGGACAAGACAAGTCAGGGCAGGAAGGAGAGCAGAACCGGGACCAAGGCTCTTGGCACCCCCAAGACACAGACACAGCCATTAGAGCTCCCCAGCTGACTTGGCCCCAGAGCCATGCCTGAGGCCCTCCAGATGGGGGGGGCATCCCCTCAGCCTTCTTTGGGGAATGCCAACGCCTGCCTCCGTGGGTCACCCTCTGCGGGGCACAAGGGCCATTCCCTCAGGGCCCAGGTGGCAGCTGGGCCAGGATCCCCAGTAGAAAAAAAGAAAGCCACAGAACCCAGAAATCACACAAAACAAATGAAATACCGTGAAAATCCCTGAAACGAGAAGTAATCGACTGGAAATATTATCTTATAGAAATAAGCTAAATAATAAAAATCAAAAAGCTTAAGGAAAAAATTAGAAAGACCTAGAATTAAAGCCTTAGCGGGATGCCAGCTATAAACCCCGTTTCACTGAACTATTCAGTTTCCTCAGAAGGAAATGGAGAAATCGTAAACCTTAAATGACCAAATCGTAAACCTTAAATGATCCCCAGGCCCCCCACAAACACCCCGGCCCACCCACCCTAGCCAGCAAGACCCACAGCTGGGTCAGAGGGGGCTCCGAGGGAAACCCCCCAGGGAGGCAAAGCTCCTTCCTGACTCCCCCTCCCCAGCCTCAATACCGGACGGAAAGGGGTCGCTCCGTGAAGAGGAGTCACAGGCAGGGGAAGGGAATCCCAGGTCTGACAGGAATCTCAGAACTAGGGAATTGCAAGGGACCCCCCAAGGATCATCTAGCCCAACCCCCTGCAATCGCAGCTGAAGCATCGCTCTGCTTATAAACCTCCAAGGAAGGAGAGTCCACGGCTTTTGGAGAGGATTTGCCAATATTTCACAGCCTTGCAGGTGAAAAGCAGGACATTTGGCCCCGGCCTTGGGCTGGCTTCTTGGCTCAAACGACAGCGGAGCCAATGGTTCCATTTGCGACCCATGGAGAGAAGGCACGAGGGGACAAATCCGCACACGGAGCCGCTCCCTGGGCCCCAAAATCTTCCTGCCCGCTCAGAGAGGGGCCTCGGGTGCCACCCAGTCCCTCCTCTGGCCAGGCGCTCCCAGAACTCCCTTCCTCCCCCTCCATCGATTCACTCAGCAGAACTCGCACTCGCCATCCCTCAGCCCCACACGGGCGCCGTGAGGGGACAGGGCCTCCAGGCCACTCACCTTGATGCCGGAGAGCATCACCGTCACCAGGTAGTTGTCGGGAAGGAGCAGAGCCCGCACCACGCTGCCGTCCCGGACGTGCTCGATGATGGCTGCGGGAGAGAGAGAGTTTCCACTAGGGCTGAGCGCTGGGAGGCAGGAGCAGCAGCCCAGGAATCGGCCTCCTTCCAAGTCAGACCATTGAGCTCAGTGCTGCCTACACCACAGGAAGGCAACCTAAGGCCCGGGGGCCGGATCAGGCCCAATCGCCTTCTCAATCCAGCCGTGGACGGTCCGGGAATCAGCGTGTTTTTACATGAGTAGAATGTGTCCTTTTATTTACAATGCATCTCTGGGTTATTTGTGGGGCACAGGAATTCGTTCATTTTTTTAAAAAATTCCAAAATATAGTCCGGCCCCCCACAAGGTCTCAGGGACGGTGGACCGGCCCACAGCTGAAAAAGGCTGTTGACCCCTGGCGTCCACGGACAGGCAGAGGAGGCTCTCCGGAGCCCACCCTGGAGAAACCGGGGACTGAAGCTGGGACCTTCGCAGCAAGCATAATCATAGCCTGCTGGATCAGGCCCATGGCCCTTGGAGACCTGCCTCCCGGTCTCACGGGGGACAAACGGATGCCCCAAAGGGAAACTCCAGGGCCGGATTCAAGTGCAAGAGCAGCTCTGTCCGGCCGTGGCCGCAGGCAGCTTGTATCCAGATGCCTCCCCAAACCGGGTCCAGAAAGGTCTACCTGCTGACCGAGGGCATTTGAATACTTTGAACACAGAGTTGAACTGTGGAACTCCCTCCCACCGGAGGTGGTGCTGGCGACCAACTTGCGGAGATCTTTAAAAAAAGGATTGTGCGAGTTCATGGAGGAGGAGGAGATTATTAATATTTGATGAATTATTGTATTTTAATATTTTGCTGGAAGCTGCCCAGAGAGGCTGGGGAAACCCAGCCAGATGGGCGGGCTACAAATAATTAAATTATTATTATTATTATTAATGGCTGCCAGCGACAACAGCTCTCCCTCAGCTGGAGGCAGCGAGGCACCTGAATGCCCATGGCTGGAAGAGGGGGCGGTGCTTGGATCCTGCTGGCAGGTTTCCCATAATAAGCACCTCAGTCAGCCACCGTGAGCACCTGACCCAGACTTCTCTTCTCACTTCCCCTGGGTATAGTAAGGTTTGTTTAACCCTCATCTCTATTCCACAAAGCGCTCCGCTCACTGCCTTCCACATGCGCACTTGCAGTTTTATTTATTTTGGTTTTATTTTACGCCTGTCTCATTCGAGGGCGACCGACAGACTATGTGTATATGCTGTTTGGCAACACAGGATTCTGCAGAAACTTCTTTGGGGAAAATAGTAAAATCCCTTTTTTTTAGACCAAGGAAGGTCTGCAGACACACAGGGCCCTGGCACTGCCCCCCCCCCCTCAGCAGCAGCCCTCCCTCCTTTGCCAGAGCCCTGCCCTAAACCGCCCCGTGTCTCACCATTGACGGGCTTCTGGTGCATGGAGTCCACAAAGTGGCGGGGGTTCTCGATGGTGTACTTCAGGTCCCGGACGGTGTGGGATCCGGTGCCGTCGCTCCACATGCCCTTCTTGGCGATCCTGGCCTGCTCCTCCAGCTCAGCCAGCCGGTTCTGCTCTGGACTGGGGGCAGAGAAAGGCCGGCCGTCAGACAAACCACCCAACCCTGCAGTCATCACCCGAGGCCCGCAGAGCTTTCCCACGGAGGGCATGCAGAGGATCTGCACTGTTAACAATGCCAAAAAATAATCAGAGCAGGGGAAAATTAGGGGGCCTTTCTGCTGTCAACTTTGTTGTTGTTGTTGTTGTTTAGTCGTTTAGTCGTGTCCGACTCTTCGTGACCCCATGGACCAGAGCACACCAGGCACCTCTGTCCTCCACTACTTCCCGCAGTTTGTTCAGACTCATGCTGGTAACCTCGAAAACACTATCCAACCATCTCGTCCTCTGTCGCCCCCTTCTCCTTGTGCCCTCCATCTTTCCCAGCATCAGTGTCTTCTCCAGGGAGTCTTCTCTTCTCATGAGGTGGCCAAAGTACTGGAGCCTCAGCTTCACCATCTGTCCTTCCAGTGAGCACTCAGGGCTGATTTCCTTAAGAATGGAGAGGTTTGATCTTCTCGCAGTCCATGGGACTCTCAAGAGTCTTCTCCAGCACCATAATTCAACAGCATCAATTCTTCGGCGATCAGCCTTCTCAACTTTAGACACCCTCATTTCGCTAAGCACTAAGACTGGTCCTTGCTGCCTTAGCTACCGGAAGTTTTACAGGCGGGCTGGATTTTCACGAGGCATTATTCTGTTTCCCAACACTGTCAAACCGATAGTTACGCAAATTAAGCTAACAAATATACCCACAACGTAACTGGTTGTGTTTAACTATATAAATTCTTTATGCATCATATTTTAACATAACTCTTTTCACATTATCTAATTGAGAAGAAGCAATTAAAGACCAATGTTTAGAACAGGAAATACAAATAGATCAGTTCTCATAAACGTAATGTCCAAATAGAAGCTTTTGTGTTCCACGTATGTCTTAGCGAATACAAGTGTCAAAAATAGCAAAATATAGTTGCTGTATGCAGGTGTCACTCGTTCCATGTCTCTGATACACAAAATATGAGTGAGCACGGCTGACGAAGACCGGCACGGAGAAACAAGGTATTATTCCGGGAATCCTTGTCACGTTCAAGTTCTTTCGTCTGACACCGGCATACGGCAACTGTATTTTGCAAAGGCACATGTTAAGATCTTTCGTATCCTTCATCTGATACCTGCACACAACCATACTTTGCCAAGGCAGATGTGGAACATTACAAAGAAAAGTTCATCTTTTGCAAGTACTGCTCCTTAAAAGTTGTTACATTTGACACTTGTATTCGCTAAGACATACGTGGAAGACAATCTTACTCGGCTACGAGGGATCACCAAAGAAGGAAGAAAATAATTTCAGCCACTCAGTCAAGTACAATGCAAAGGTGGGATGTCAAGAGATTTATCCTGCAACAGACCCTCATGTATCTGTCAGCTCACACCCCTTCTGCCTTACCCTGTTGCTAGGTATATAAGGGAACAGGGCTCCCGTGACAATCTCTGGCTCAAAGCCTGAGCAGGCCACAGAGGGCAGGGGCTCAGGGAGACCCCTTCACACCCAGAGTGAGCAACCAGGCCTTTGGCAGACCAGAACCACCACGTTTGCCCTCTGGCCTTGCGGCAAATTGTTGCCACCTTCGCCAGCCGGCACAGCGCTATGCGTCAGAAAGGATACTGCCATTAGGAACAGAGGAGCCTGCAGGATCCGGCCAACGGCTCATCTAATTCAGCGCCTTCTCAGCGGCTGAACATTTGCTGCCAGGAAGCAGGATCCGACACAAGAGCAGCACTCCCCCCTCCTGTGGCTTCAAGCAACCGGTTAAACTAATCTACAGGAATTTCAGCCCTTCCGCCTGCTAGGCTGCACCACCCTCGCAAACCCCCCACACACACTGCCTGCATTCCAGGGACAAGCGCTGGTGCCACCTCGCCAGCTCCTCGGGGGGCCCGGCAGCTGCCCGCCCTGCGATGCAGGGATTCCCGCTGACCCGGCCTGCCCTGGCAAGAGCGTTGCCTTCTCAGTGTTTGCTTCCCGTTCAGGCGGAACATGAGCAAAGTGAGCCGAGGCCCCGGTGGAGATGGCATGGCAGCCGGCCCAGCCAGCCAGGCTCCGCGGCCTCAGCCGCCTCCGCAGACCTCCGGAGGATACTCTGGGGCTCTTCCAAGGCCGTGAACACATCAGCGGAGCCATCAAGCCCCCTTGGCACTCCCCGCTCTCTCTCTCTCTCTCTCTCGCACGCAGGCAGGCACACTCGCTCTCGCTCTTTCCTGGCACGAGGCAGAGCTAGGCGTGAAGCGGGGGCTCCCTCCTGCCGCGGCACAGCCAACCTGCCGGGAGCTGCAGGGCCAACAGGATTCGCACAAAAGTCAACGTCCCTGGCAAAACGCACCCCGGGGGATGGTGGGGCCACGAGGAAGCGCTGTCTCCCCCACCCTGCTCTCCCTGGGGCTTCCGATTCAGCACACAACCCCCCGATCCTCACCCAAGCTCAACGATGGGCAGTCAAGGTCCCCGGGCATTTGGAACAAGGCACAGGGCTGTCCTGCCAGCAAAACGAAGCTGCAGAGGCCTCTGGAAGAGACCTCACCTTTGAGACTAACTACCCGGACTCTCGTCTACGAGAAGATTCGGCCACATTTGCCAGTCTTGGAGGGGACAAGAGGCTGGCTGTGGGCGGCTGGTTTTGTAAAGAGATGAGACTCTGTCTTGGTAGCCTCGCTCCCCAGCCACCCTCAGCCCAGAGTTTGCCAGGGAGAACCGGCAGCCCAGGGGCAGGTCCAAAGGGAAGCCCGGCTCCTCAGGAGTAGACCTACTTGTTGCCACGCAAGCCTTCCCGGCGGCTGGCCAGCCCTTCGGACACCAGCGACTCTGCGATGTTCTCCCCAGCTGTGTCTGCCAAGGAAAGACAGCCAGGTTAGCGAGGCAGCACAGCACCCAAGAACAGAAGAATTGGCCGGCAGGATCAGGCCCCAGAGGGGGCCAAACCGCAGGCAGGATGCGAGCGCAAGAGCCCTCTCCCCTGCAAAACCGGGATTCAGAAGCAGCCGCAGAGGCAGGGCAGAGCCACTGTGGGTGGAGATGCCTTTAATAAAATAAAAATCTTAACTAAAAGCAGAAGAAATGCTTTCAATGAGGGGGCTGGTGCCCTGCTGGTTGTGTCTGAATGTTTTAAACAGATTTAATACATTTGTGAATAGTTTGAATTGATTGTTAATGACCGTGGGAGTTTCCCCCATATTTTTAGCTGCCGTTCTTTTATTTGTACGTCAACCCAATTGCCTGCCGGGGGGAAATGTGGGATATAAATAAATATATCATAATAATAGAAGTCGCCACCGGTAGCCTGCCTGGAGGGCGGGAACGAGGTGTGCACAGAGCCCACGGCAAGTCGGCCTGGCTTGACCCACAGAGACTGCCCCCCCCCACATGGCCAGGCCGCTTGCAGTGGGCAAAGGTGGCAGAAAGAAAGAAGGAGTTCACAAGCCAGCACCCAAGCAGGATTTCACCCACTGTGCACAAGGAGGAATCCTGCCACTACTGGGGGGAGGGATGTTTCCTCACCTTGCTCTGCCAAGGATCAGGGCCTCCCCAGGTGCTCTTAACAAGGATTTCCCCCTGCTAAGCCCTCCCTCCTCAAAAAGGCTTCCGGGGACCCACACACAGAGGCTCTCGGGGAAGGAAAGAGTTATGTGGGGGACTCCCTGGTCCTGAATGGGGTCACTGTGCCCCTGAAGGACCAGGTGCGCAGCCTGGGAGTCATTTTGGACTCACAGCTGTCCATGGAGGTGCAGGTCAATTCTGTATCCAGGGCAGCTGTTTACCAGCTCCATCTGGGACACAGGATGAGACCCTATCTGCCTGCAGACTGTCTTGCCAGAGTGGTGCATGCTCTGGTTATCACCTACTTGGACTACTGCAATGTGCTCTATGTGGGGCTACCTTTGAAGGTGACCTGGAAACTACAACTAATCCAGAATGTGGCAGCTAGACTGGGAAGTGGGAGCGGCTGCTGAGACCATATAACTCCAGTCCTGAAAGACCTACACTGGCTCCTAAGACGTTTCTGAGCGCAATTCAAAGTGTTGGTGCTGACCCTTTAAAGCCCTAAACGGCCTTGGTCCAGTATATCTGAAGGAGCGTCTCCTCCCCCATCGTTCTGCCCGGACACTGAGGTCCAGCGCCGAGGGCCTTCTGGTGGTTCCCTCCCTGTGAGAGGCCAAGTTACAGGGAACCAGGCAGAGGGCCTTCTCGATAGTGGTGCCCACCCTGCGGAACGCCCTCCCACCAGGTGTCAAGGAGATAAACAACTATCTGACTTTTAGAAGACATCTGAAGGCAGCCCTGTTTAGGGAAGCTTTTAATGACTGATGGACTATTGTATTTTAATGTTTTGTTGGAAGATGCCCAGAGTGGCTGAGGAAGTCCAGCCAGATGGGTGGGTATAAATAAATTATTATTATTATTATTAAGTGTAGAGGTCATGAAAAAGCTTCCACGGGCGTTGGAAGGCAGAGGGCGAGGAAGCACCCAGAGGGAGGGGGGCACCCGCTGGGGGGGGGGAGCAGAGCGACCCTGGGCTGCCGCAAGCTCTCCTCTGCCCCAAACAGGAGCATTTCATTTTTTCCCCAAACAGGAGCATTTCAGGAGACAGCCTTGCAGAAAGAGCCAAAGACGCTCAAGTTCAGCCCAAGTCCAGGAATCCAGAGGCTCCGTCAAGGGGGGGGCCTGCCAGGGACCCCCTCCAGCATCACCCAACCTCAAACCCATCCACACCACCTTGGCAAATGCACTACCAGTCCCAGGCCTGCCTCTCGCGCCCAAACTAGCGGCGCAGTCCAGCCCAGAGAGCTGGGGAGGGGGAGCAGCTGCCCAGATCTGCCCAGCCAGCAATTTCAACATGGATCTCTTCAAAAGTTGAAGAAGTTAATTAGCAAACATCCACCTCTTCAGCTAAATCCTGGGCTGTCAGGCGGCAGCAAGACGAGGCCAGCGTGGCAGAAAAATTCTCCATGTGGCAGCAAACAAGCAGGACAGATACTGGCATCGCTGCCCACCTCTGAAGATTTATGCCCGGCACGAGGCCCAGAGGGAGATGTGCAAACCAGCGTGTGGGGGGCAGAGCCCCACCCCGGCCCCCCAAAGGACTGGAGAGACACAGGCAAAGGACAGGGGGGGAGGCAGGCAGGAAGAGATGACCCACAGCTGGGGGGCAGGAGAAGGTGAGAGGGGCCAGGCCTCATCTCGGCAGAAAATTTTTATTTTGCATTTTTATCCCCGCCACCACCCGAAGTTCAGGAAATCCAGGGCTCCTCATTCTAAGCTGTTTGTTGGCCTGTTTCCTGCAGAACGCCAGCCCCCAAAGCAGAAAACTCAAAGCAGGGGGGCAGAGCGAAAGAGAAAATCACTCAGAATGGGATACTGTTCCAAACTGGCTGCCCTTCAGCTCCCGCCTGGCTCTCCCATGGCAAGGGGGCAGGAAGGGGGCGTGTCACACAGCCAGCAGGTGACCCAAGCTTGTCTGCTCTCTAGGCCAACACTGTAGGCAAGGGGCAGGGTGAAGGGGTGAGCGCCCCTGGAACTCAGGGCACCGTCCTGGTGGCTGGGCCCCTGCAGGCCCCCCCCCACTTGGCTTCAAAATGCCACTGGTGGATTCGCACGTCACGGCTGGCGTGAGGCTCAAATTCTCGCCCTGAATGTGTATTTTCTGCCTGTTAAATTGGACCACAGAGGAAGAGGGAAACAGAGCTCCCACAACCCTTTATGTTATTATACAGAACTTCCCAAAGTTGAATACTTTTGGACATTCTGAACGAACGAATATTTGGATGGAACTTTGGCTTTGAGACACTTGGATATGATTCTGGTATTGCACACGTTACGTAAAAGATATCTTTAAGGAAATGGACACTGGGTGGAATTTAAATGTCTTTTTATATTGGGTCTTTTAGGAAGTTCTGCATAACTGCATAGAGAGTTGCATGAGCTGGGTTAAATTGGACCACCACCTTGGCCAACCCAATAGTCTTCTTGCCTGCCACGTTCCAGATTTCCATCTGTGTTTCCCCTTTGCCAATTTCCCCCGGGAGAACAGGTCCCTCGTTTCCCAAGGAGGTCTCCTTTTTTGCCCCCAGACCTGCCAGTGCCAACACATGACTACAGAGCTCTTTTTTTTATGGCTTTGGGAGCTGAAGAACTCAGAATAGCCTCTGGCTCTGCTCACCCCCCCCAACCTGGCTGATGAACCTCAGAGCTCACAGGAGAACAGCTGGCTCAGGGAGGAAGGACCCTCTGCAGGAGGGGCAGACTGGGCTGTGGGGCTCTGCCCTCCAAGTGTGGGGCAACCCTGCGCAGGACCTCTCACCTTTCCCCAGGTACACCATCCCATACTCCCGGCCTTGGGGCGCCTTGTATTCCACCGTGAAGCAAACCTCTTTCCCGATGAGCTTCTTCCGCAGGAATTCGCGGGCTGGGAACCCCCAGGGCTGAGGAAGAAGGAGGTCGCTGGTCAGGAACAGGAACCCCTCAGCCCCACATCCCCCCCCCAACATCCACTCCCAGACCCCTTGTTATTTCAAGGTTGACTCGTCGCTTTCAGAAAGTCACCCGTCAGCTTGCAAAGATAACAATTAAGAACCACCCATGTAATGCAGAATTTTTAAAAACCTCCACGGCCAGAAACAACTGTTAAAATTGCTTCATATAAGCTCCTTAGGAAATTTGCATACTAAGCGGTATATAGCTATGGTTGACGATAAATGATGGATAAAACATCCAATGCGTGGGAGAATGGAAACCCCTTGGGGCCGGATGAACTTCTCTAGAAAGGGGATTTTCATTTATTCATTTTATTATTATTAATAATAATAATAATAATAATAATAATAATAATATTACTACTATTTCATCCCTAGATCTCAGGGCAGCTCACAACATAAAAATACAAGGTAAGAGACAAATTCCTCTAGGAGGGCTGCTCCCACAGGTGAGGCCACCCCCATCTTTCCCACACACACACACACACACACACACCACCCCATGAAGGGTCAACCTCAGGCCTGGACCTCAGAAGGTGAGCAACTAAGTGGGGGGAGTGATGGAGGGGAGGGGGGAGGACAACTCACACCCAGGCTATTTCCTGCCAAACTTTGCCCACTGGTGGCAAGAAGTGGGATAGCAACCAATAGCATGACTGAAAGGACCATGAAGCTACAGACAGAAAAATCTTGACCCGAAGGTCAGATCTGACCACTGGCAAGGTCACGATGCGCAGCAAAAGCACATAATCTGGCTGCCACACAAGTCCTGGTTGAGCGTAGGGTGCAAACCTGGCCACTGGTGTAGGGGAGAGAGGGAATGTACAGTGGTGCCCCGCAAGACGAATGCCTCGCAAGACGAAAAACTCGCTAGACAAAAGGGTTTTGCGGTTTTTGAGCTGCTTCGCAAGACGAATTTCCCTATGGGCTTGCTTTGCAAGACGAAAACGTCTTGCGTTTTTTGCAAGTTTGTTTCCTTTTTCTTAACACCCTTAATACAGTTGCGACTTGACTTCGAGGAGCAACTCATAGAACGCGGTGTGGTAGCCTTTTTTGAGGCTTTTGGCGATTTTTGAAGCTTTTCCAAAACTTTCCCGACACCGTGCTTCGCAAGACGAAAAATTCGCTAGACGAAAAAACTCGCGGAACGAATTAATTTCGTCTTGCGAGGCACCACTGTATAAACCACCCGTCCCGTCTTATATTCTGTTTTTAAAACAGAGGTTGGGGGGGTCCATCTCTGGTGAGCTGTTCCGGAAGCTCTGCAAGCGCGATCTTGGCAGGCCCGATAACCCCAGAATTAATTGGCAGCTGTTGCAGCAATGAGCTCATTTATTAGCTTAGATGTAAGCTAATTGGCTGGCTTTGATATGCCCTCCTTATCTGTGGGGCGCTGGGCTCTGAGCCCAGAAAGGGGAGCTTATCTGTAGGATTTGGGCATTTGCCACTTCTGCCCTCACCTGGGCAGGTGAAGCCATCTGAAGCCCTGGCCAAAGGATCCTGCTTTGTGTATAAAGAATGAATCCCCATTTGCTTGGGGGGCAGACAGGCCATCTCCTTGCTACCCACCCCTCCCTTCGACTATGTGGGTCGCACCCTGTGCCCACAGCCTCCCCCTCTTGGGCACCTCCACAGCAGGTCCTGGCAGCAGAGGCGACATTTAGCCCCCCCCACACACACATCAGGCCCTCAGTTGCCTCTGTGACCAGCGCTTCCCCCCATCTCCCCCCCCAAGACCTACCTCGTCTGCTGTGTCCTTGCCATCTGGCTGCCCCGCAGCTGCCCGGCGTGCCAGGTTGCCAGCCCGGATGTTGCTGAGGTTGATCTGCCTCTCGGGAGGCGGTCCTCCACGAGGCTGGCCGCGGACAATGATGGCGCAGCCAGAGAGAACCTGGGGAGGGGAGAAGGTGGGGGCATCAGTAGCAGCATCTAACAGAGCGAGCAGCATCAGAATAGGACCCAGAAGTAAAGGTAAAGGGACCCCTGACCATTAGGTCCAGTCGTGGACGACTCTGGGGTTGCGGCGCTCATCTCACTTTATTGGCATACAGTTTCCGGGTCATGTGGCCAGCAGGACTAAGCCGCTTCTGGCGAACCAGAGCAGTGCATGGAAACGCAGTTTACCTTCCCACCGGAGTGGTACCCTATTTATCTACTTGCACTTTGACATGCTTTCGAACTGCTAGGTTGGCAGGAGCAGGGACCGAGCAACGGGAGCTCACCCCGTCGCGGGGATTCGAACCGCCAACCTTCTGGTCGGCAAGTCCTAGTCTCTGTGATTTAACCCTCAGCGCCACCCGCGTCCCGGGATCAAATGCCCACTCGGCCAGGAAACTGACTGGGGGACCTTGGGCCGGCCGACCTCGCAGGTGAGTTTTAGAGATTAAATGGGAAGGACCAGGTAAGCCACGCTGAGGGTCTTGGAGGTAAGTCAAGTGGAATTCATAATAACAGTGATCTTGGCTGAGCTGGCAGGTGTGAGCGTCAGAGGAGGAATGCTTCACACAGGTTTGCCCAGGTAGCCTGAAGGCAAGCACCCCTTCTCCTCCTCAGCTGTTGCCACCCTGCCAGCACCTAGACGCTGCCCCTGAATGCGCAAGATCCCAGTTTACTCACAGGGCGCTTGTCTGGGGCTCCTTCCTGCCCATGAATTTTGCCAGGATGCCAGCCACTGCCCAAGCCAACCAATAGCAAGGTACGTTGAGGATGGGCTATGTGAATTTTCTATGCTGCCTTTCTGCCTTTCCCTCACACCGCTGCCAGTCAGGTCAGAAAAGAGTAAGACCATTGACACAAGGGAGCAAAATCGCATCCTCGAGAGGAAATCAAAGCGCTTGCAGCCGTTCATGAACTGCAGGGCCACAATCCGTCCAAAGGGGAAACGGAGCCACAAAAAGTAACGCTGCGCTGCCCTGGTTGCCAGTTCATTCCCAGGCCCAAGCCAAGGTGTTTGTGTTTAAAGCCCTAGACGACTCCAGCCCCAGATATCCAAATGGCTACCTTCTTCCCTGAAGACCCTCTTGAGGCTTCTCTTGGCAGTCCCTCCACCTTCAGGGGCTCCAGGCGAGTGGCAGCCCAACAGGACGGGGCCTTCTCCGTGGCAGCCCCTCCCCACAGAGGTGCATCTGGTGCCTTAACTGCACAGGTGCCAGACATCTCTTTGCCCCCTGACTTCTTTTGCAATTGGAGGTGTATGTTCTTAGAACCCAACTCATTTTATGGTTGGGAGTTGTTTTAAAGCGTTCTTAATATCGTGTTTTAATGTTCTGTCCTGCCCTGAGACCTTGGGGCGAAGGATTGGTAACAAATTATTATTACCATTATCATTACTACTACTACTGCTACAGTCGTACCTTGGATCCCAAACGCCTTAGTACTCGGACGTTTTGGCTCCTGAACGCTGCAAACCCAGAAGTGACTGTTCCAGTTTGCGAACTATTTTTAGAAGCCGAATGTCCGACGGGGCTTCTGTGGCTTCCGGTTGGCTGCTGGAGCTTCCTGCAGCCAATCAGAAGCCGCACTTTGTTTTCCGAACGTTTTGGAATGGACTTCCAAGGTACAACTGTACTACTATGAAGCTTTTCTTTTTAATCCACCAAAAGCTTTCATTGTGATTCCTTACAACTTCAGACAACCATTGTCAAAGAAGCAGCCAATCAATGTAACCCCCCAAGCCCCAGAGGCGGGACTTCCCTTGGTTCGGCCACAGCAGCGTTCAAGAGACCCGCCCCCTTCCCTGGGACCCAGCAGGTCAAGCCCTCCCACTGCCTGCCCCCCAGGGGAGGCTTCCCCTCTGCCCAGGAGCGCAAGAGGCAAGGCCATGCCCAGGCGATCCCTCCTGCCAAGGTTCAGGGTCCAGGCAGATTACTGGACCACAGGTCAGGCCTCCTCTCGGCCGGCTGGGCAGCAACGGAAGCTGCAGCCACGCTGACCCTGCAAGCCTCCGAGGCTGAAACCAGCAAATAAAAAGTTGCGCACTAGAAATTATGGAGACATACACCCCCGGGATCCTCGACACGTGGCCCATGGTCACTGCCTGTGGCTGCCTTAGAAGTAGCAAATGGAGATCAGGAGGATCTGTTTCCTGGCTGCAGCTAGCCATGGAAGCCCAGAGAGGAGCTACCAGGGGACAAATATCCTCTGGCTTGTGCTCCTCTCTGTGGTGCCCGCCTGGCAGGGTGCAAAGATGCACAGATTCAGATCTCCAGGCATCCCTCTGGCTCTCCACCAGCCAAGGCAGGCAAGGACATGGGGGCTTTGATGGTGCACAGCCTGGTATGCTCAGGAGGGAGGGGGAACAGGCTATAGTCACCTGCAGGCGGCCTCTCCAGCCTCCTTCTCAAGGCAATGATTTCGAGCACCCGGGCTCAGGACCAGCGGCGAGAATTGGGACCCTGGCTCGCCTCCCTGTTCCAAGCACCTTCTTCCCCCACCCGTCCCAGGGGCCAAGAGGGGTTTCCCCGGGTGCCTCCTCCTCTTCTCGACTCCTTTCACCCAAATCACCAGCCCTCAAACGTAGCAGTCGATGCCCCAGTCTATTAAAGCACTCTGCGCAAACGCCAAAGCAGTAAACACCAACCGGAGAAGCAAATTGACAAAATAATCAATTGGAGAGAGATTCTTTCAACGGAGCTTGTTCCGCGGCCGTGGCACTCGATACAACCAGGACTGGAGCTGTAATTACTCTTAATCTAGTTCCCAGGACAGGCTCAAGGACCACCCCGCTCATGGCTGCTTGCCGGAGAAAGCCAGGGGCGAGATCCGTGGGAGCGCCAACCTGCACAAAGGGCACCTCGCAGGCTCCCTCCCTGCGCTCCTTTGACTCCCAAGGCCTCCTCAGCCAAGCTTCCTGATCAGCCGACCACCTTCCAAAGTCCCCAAGAGGCTCCGTGTCACCCCAACAGACAGGCAATTGTCGGGGCTTCACAGCACAGGACGCAGCCCCCTTGCAGAAACCAGCCGGCTGACTCCACTGTGGGCATCAGGTAACTGGCAGGCGGGCAGCCCTGCTCACCTGCCCGACTTGGGCCACAGAGGGCGGGGGAGAAAAAGCTTTCCCCCGTAACTGGAACTACACTCGAATGCAGCTGCCAGTCAGAGGATGCTGCGGTCCCCAAAATCCTCTGCTACCCCCACAGTCAGCGCTCCTTCGGTCTTTCCTCCACCCCAAAAATTTCACCGCTTCTCAAGTTTAGGAAGCTGATGCCACCTCTGTGAGAAATCACCACCAGAGAGAGCGGAGTTCCTACCTCACGACCCCCCCCCTCCCCACTGAGACGCTGGGCTAGATGCCTCTTGTTTCAAAGGCTGCCTGCCAGAGCCCAGGCTTTCCCCGCAGAAAGGACCTGAGGGCTGATTCCACCAGTGGGGCCCATTCTCCCAGGAAGAAGGTGCTGCTCTCAGACGGAACAGAGGCTGAGGCTCACTTCCTCCTCGTGGGAAAGGGAACTCCCTCTTGCTTACAGAGAAGCAGTGCAGCTCAGTGGTTAAAGTGTCTTTCTAGCGCCTGGGAGACACCAGGGATCAAATACCCACTCGGCCAGGAACGTCACTGGGCGACACTGGCCCAGCCACTGCCTCTCCCCCTAACCTACCTCTCAGGGTTGTTGTTGTGGGTGCTAAACGAGGAGGGGGAGAACCAGAGAGGCCCCCTTGACCTCGGGTGCTTTGTAAATGCGATGAATAAAACAAATAAAGCGAACAAATAAATACAGTCGAACCTCAGAAGTCAAACAGAATCCGTTCCAGGAGTCCATTCGACTTCCGAAACCTTCGGAGACCAAGGCGCGGCTTCTGACTGGTTTCCGATTGTGCAGGCACACCGGAAACAACAGCAGAAGCTGGGCCGGACGTTTGGCTTCCAAAAAAAGTTCAAAATACTTCTGGTTTTTGATCGTTCAGGAGACGGAACTTTCAACTCCCAAGACGTTCAGGAGCCAAAGTACGGTTGTATACCCCAGGGTGAGAGGCGGAAGACGGAAGCGCCTATGGGGAACCTCCCCCCATCCTTCCCACGGGGGAGCCCCCCCCCTCACGCCAGCCCCAGGGCCAGCAAGTGCCTCCCCGCTTCCCTAAGACCCTCTGTGTTTTGCCATTAAAGAACTGTTGCAAAAAAATTTATAAATGAGAGCTGAATGAAATAAGAACAATGCCGGAATGGTTACAGGCTGTGACCTGCAGAAAGTGGCCAGAGCGCCACAGGCATCCCAGCCACCCTTTGCGGAAGTGAGGACGGGAGTAACGTACAGGGAGAGCGTTGCCCCCTTCTCTCCTCACAGGGTTGCTGTGGGGCAGATCAGAACTGCCTGCACCCCGGCGTATCTGCAAAGCCGAGCTGCACCCTGCTCCTCGGGCAGCGGTCCTGAAGCACACTGCAGACCACCCACTGTGGACGGGTGCCCTCACCCCAGGGCGCACCCCCTGCTTGCACTGCTGGGGGGAATTCTCTCTAGCTGCCGCAGGACCTTGGCCCACCAGCCCCACTGATCTTCTCGCTGTGGGGCAGAGATGCGCCTGTGCAGGATGCCCAGAAGACTCCAAAAACCACACTAAACTGGTTCCCAACTAAACCACTTCCATCCCTGCCTGCTCCAAGGGAAGCATCTAAATTGCAGAACTCTTTCATGTGGTGTGGCTCACACATCGCAGTGGGGTGACCCACAGGGTACTTGTTTTGGGATAGGGAAGGGAACCAGCTGCTCTCAGGCTCCTTCTATTTAGAGGCACCTGAACATCCTCTGCTCAACAGGTAAGGCCACTTCCTGCCTCCAGGTTGCAACATTACACCCTAGCATGCCTGGGGTTTATTACAAGCAACTTCTGCCGCTGAATTTCTAGCGGCATTTGCAAATTCTGGCACAGCCAGCACATGTCCTGTGTCACAGTGGATCTGCAGCAAAAAGCAGCCCCCAGGACAGGGGGGGGGGCCCACACACACACACCAGATGCCAGAGCACCGAGCAGCAGCATGGCAGGCGCAGTGGGGTCAAGCGCCCACAACACACGCCCAGGCTGCCACATGTGCTGACAGCAACATTCCTGGACAATGTGGGTTCCCAGAAGCAAGTCTGCGGAAGATGGCCTGAGAGAGCGGCAAGGGGGCAGCCCACAACCCCCCACCCCACCCCATGAGACTGCCCTTCCAGGCTTGCCCCACTGCTCAACTTTGTCAAGTTTGCGTCTTGCCCTTCTCCAAAATACAACTGACACACAAACACACACACACACACACTCCTTCCAGAAAGCAAGTGTGAGCCTGGGTGTCCTTTGCAATGCAAAGGCGGTTCCAAGGCTCCTCTAAGTTATCCTGGGGGCGTTTTCTGAAGGTCACCGGAAGCCAGACCACTGGGCCACCTAGGGCAACGCTCTCCAGATGTTACTAGAGCCCAAATGCCAACAGGCTCAACCAGCATGGCCAAGGGTCCAGGCCCAGAGCTGCAGTCCAGCAACATATGGAGGGGGCTACATGGGGTGCCCCCTGCCCACAGACGAGGCTCTTTCCCAGCTCTAGGGCAGAAGTTCCAGCCTGGACCCGAGGCCTTCTGCCTGCAACAGTGTGTGTGCTGAGACTCAGCCGGGCCCTTCCTGGCTGCATCACGTGCAGCAAAACAAGAGAATCCTCTTCTTCCTTATCTTCAAAGGGAAGGAACGTGATGGAGTCTCCTTGCAGGAAGGTGCCCCCCTCCCTCCCCAAAGCCCCAAGCGAAGAAGGAGCTCAGGGTGCTGCAATTGCACCCGGGAGAGAAAAGGGTGGTCCTGGGGCTCCCAGTCCTGGGGGCCACACGCCCACCTCCCACAGGGGAGACGGGGGTCTCTGGGGGAACCCAGGGCCTTCCCACAGGGCAGCTGGCTGGCCTCTCTGGGGCACAGGGGGGTGGGATCCCTCTCACCCACCCCAACACCCACGTGGTCCCAATCCAGCTGCTCCTCCTCATGGGCTGCTGGGCGGGGTTTTGAGCGGACCTTCCCGCCTTGCACGGGGTTGGTCTGGACGACCCCTGGGGGTCCCCCTCCCAAGGCTTCGGTTCTGCGACCCCTCCCGCCCTGGGGAAAGGGCTGGGGAGGAGGGTCCTGGGCGGGGGAAAGGGGAGAGCGGAGGGAGTGGTTGGCGGAGGGGGGCAGCGTGTCGGGAGCCGAAGGGTCCGGCCCCGAGAGGCCGCCCGGAAAGGGGCCTGGCCGCTCTGCCCATGCTCGAGAGGCGCCCTTGGCGCGCCCTTCCCCCCCCCCAGCCCCCGCCCCGGAGAAAGGGTCCTGGGGCAAGCTGGGGCAAGGAGAGAGCGGAGGGCCAAGCTGGCCGAGGGGGACCGGGGGGGCCGCCTCCCCCTTGCTCCCGGGCCTCGGGCGCTCTACCCATGCTTCAGAGGCGCCCTTCCCCCCCCCCAGCCCCCGGCCCCGGGAAAGGGTCCTGGCTGGATCCCCCCCCTCCCTGGCAGCTGGGGCAAGGGGAGAGCGGAGGGCGAGCTGGCCGAGGGGGGACCGGGGGGTCGGCCTCCCTCCGCTCCCGCCTGCCTGGCGCTCTGCCCATGCTTCAGAGGCGCCCTTCCCCCCCAGCCCCCGCCCCGGGGAAGGGTCCTGGGCTGGACCCCCCCTCCTGGCAGCTGGGGCAAGGAGAGAGCGGAGGGCGAGCTGGCCGAGGGGGACCGGGGGGCCGCCTCCCTCCCTCCCGCCTGCCTGGGCGCTCTGCCCATGCTCAGAGGCGCCCTTCCCCCCCCAGCCCCCGCCCCGGGGAAAGGGTCCTGGGCTGGACCCCCCCCTCCTGGCAGCTGGGGCAAGGAGAGAGCGGAGGGCGAGCTGGCCGAGGGGGACCGGGGGGCCGCCTCCCTCCCTCCCGCCTGCCTGGGCGCTCTGCCCATGCTCCGAGGCGCCCTTACCATCTTGACGATGCCTCTCTGCAGGGCGGGGCTGGCGGCGCCCGAGGCGGCGGCGGCGGCGGCGCTGCTGCTTCCGGAGGAGGAGGCCATCCCGAGGGGTCTCTCGCGGGGGTCTCGATCGGGGGGTCTCGCTCTCTCTCTCTCGCTCTCTCTCTCGGCGAGGGACGCGGCGCGGACGGAGCGGCGGAAGGGGCGGGGCGAGGGGCGGGGCGCCAGCTTTATAGCCCTCCTCCTGCCCCGCCCCCTCGCGCAGGCGCAGGGTCCGGCCCCGCCCAGTCCTGGAGAGGAGGGCCAATGGGCGGGCGCCCCCGCGGACCCCGACCCGCCCCCTCGCCGCCGGCCTGGCCAATGGGCGCGGCGAGCGGCGGCCAGGGAGGGAAAGGGGAGCGGATTCAAACCCGCGACGTCGCGGAAGGGAGGAGGGAGGAGGAGGGGGAGGAGGAGGCGGGACTTCCGGGTCAGGCGGGCAGAAGGACACGTCGGCAAGAGCTGCCCGCGCGGCAGGACCGCCCACGTGGGGGAGGGAGGGGCCACGCCAAGGACGCGCCTGCGCCTTAGAGGGGGGATCCCGGGGAAGCCCGGCGGGCCGGCACGTGACCCAGGAGGGACTTCCCCGCCGGCGGCGGCGCCTCGTATTGCCTGTGGGCGGCATTTCCAACTGCGGATTATTTCATCATCTGAATTTAATATATCTGTCTGTATTGTTCATAGTGTTTGTTACATTACGAGTGAAATTAAAATTTTATATATAAAATATAAAATGTGTATATATATATATATACAGTACATGTATTGTAGCAGGAACCCCCCCCCCCCCATCATTCTGTTTGTACAAACTTCACACACACTCACACACTACATACGCTGCGCTTCTGTTATAAATTCATAGAAAAATCAACCATACATCGGATTTGCACTGTTCCACTTTTATTTTACTCCATATGACAAGAACTAACAAAGGGGGGGGTGGCTTAGTCCTGGTCAGCCATAATCCCTCCACCATCTCAGCACATCCCAGCACATCTGCAGGAGCCCTGCCCAGATGATCCCAGACAGAAGGCAATCAAGACCACAAAGAACTTGCATATGGGAGTGGATTCAGCATGGACTGAAACAAAGGACAATGATCAGATCTTCCCTCAGGGGGCAGGAAACTGCAAACTCCCCTTTGTCTCCTGGAAGTGACTCATGGGGAGGGGGGAAAGGAGGAACCAGCCAGGTGACAAGACACTCAGGTTACCACCAACTCCTCCCTCAACCCCTCCTTTCTGTAATGTATGCATGATGTTTCTGGGGGTGGGCTTGACCTAGAGGAGGAGAATTTCAAAAGTTTTTATAAGACCTTGCACACCATCTTTCTGGGTCTTTCCTCTCTCTTGCAAGTGAGGGGAGCAACCTGTTGCAACAGTTCAATAAAGACCAAGCCTACAGGCTGCTGATTTGCTCCAATTTACTCTGGTTGGTGTCTTTACTTTTTGTCCAAGGGAGCCCTCGGATTTTTCCGGTAACAGTTATATGTATATATATGTATGTATATATATATATATATATATATATATATATATATATATATATATGTTTTGGTGTCCTCGGGTGTCTTCCCGTGTAAAAGTTGGGGTGTCTAGGCGACGTTTCGACGAGGTCTCACTCGTCATCTTCAGGCTGGTGCTTTCGGCTTCTTGTTACTGGAACAGAGCAGGATCTCAGTGTTTGAGTTCCTATAAATACTGTTGAGGGGGTGTGGTGTATAGCCTCCAATGTTCTGGGCAGAGAGGAAGTTCCCAGGCTAGTGTGCCTTTTCTTCTTTTGTTCCTTAATTACTTGAGGGATATCTTGAGTGATTTCTTGAGTGATATCCTGAGTACCACTTAGGTGGGTCATTAGGTGTGGATTAGTTGCTAAAGCCTTCGTGTCTTGACCTCTTGAACTTTGTGAAGAGTTTTTCTGAGAAGATGGCTGTATTGCATTTAGTTGTGCTCTGGCTTGGCTTCGTGTATAGGGGCGAGCTGTGGTTTTGTGTCCTGTGCCAGCCAGATCTGTGTAGGGATTGCAGGGGGGTGCAGCATATATATATACACACACACACACACATATATAAATTTATTGCTTATACCCCGCCCATCTGGCCAGGCATCCCCAGCCATTCTGGGCGGCTTCCAACCATGGATTAAAAATACATTAAAACATCAGTTTTCTCCTGAGAAATCACTATGTGCGACAATGTTGCAGGAAACCCCCCCCCCCAATCATTCAGTTTGTACAAACACGACACACACTCATAATACGACACACGCAACGTTTCTGTTATAAATTCATAGTAAATCAACCATACATCGGATTTACACCGGTCTACTTTTATTTTATTCCATGAAGGAAGGACTATCAAAGGGGATAGGTTTAATACAGGATGGCCATAATCCCTTAAGCGTACCAACACGTACTCAGGAGCCCTACCCAGTTGGCATGACGACCTTGATGGTCCCAGACAGAAGACCATCAAGGACACAGAGGACTTGCATATGGGAGTGGATTCAACATGGACTGGAACAAAGGACAATGATCAGATCTTCCCTCTGGGGGCAGGAAACTGTCCGCTACCCTTTGTCCTCTGGAAAATACTCATGGGGAGGAGGAAAGGAGCGACCAGCCAGTTGACAAGATACTCAGATTATCTCCACAACTCCTCCCTCAACCCCTCCTTTCTGTAATGTATGCATGATGTTTGGGGGGATTACTAACTAATAAAAGTTGGGGTCTTCTTTTGTTCGGGGCTTCCATCTTGTTCCACCTGGTGGCAGGTGGGAGTCCTGTCGCGACAGTCTTCAATCAAGACCAAGCCTACTGGCTGCTGTTTTGCTCTGCTATTCCTGGCTGGTGTCCTTGTTTTTTTGTCCAAGGGAACCCTCAGATTTCTCGGTTAACAACAAGAAGCTACAGTTAGAACTGGATATAGAAGAACTGATTGGTTCAAAATTGGGAAAAGAGTACAATATGGCTGTATAATGTCTCCCTGCTTATTTAACTTATATGCAGAATTCATCATGCGAAAGGCTGGGCTGGATGAATCTCAAGCTGGAAATCAGATTGCCGGAAGAAATATCAACAACCTCAGATATGCAGATGACACAACCTTGATGGCAGAAGGTGAGGAGGAATTAAAGAACCTTTTAATGAGGGTGAAAGAGGAGAGCGCAAAATATGGTTTGAAGCTCAACATCAAAAAAACGAAGATCATGGCCACTGGTCCCATCACCTCCTGGCAAATAGAAGGGGAAGAAATGGAGGCAGTGAGAGATTTTACTTTCTTGGGCTCCATGATCACTGCAGATGGTGACAGCAGCCACGAAATTAAAAGATTCCTGCTTCTTGGGAGAAAAGCAATGACAAACCTAGACAGCATATTAAAAAGCAGAGACATCACCTTGCCAGCAAAGGTCCATATAGTTAAAGCTATGGTTTTCCCAGTAGTGATGTATGGAAGTGAGAGCTGGACCATCAAGAAGGCTGATCACCGAAGAATTGATGCTTTTGAATTATGGTGCTGGAGGAGACTCTTGAGAGTCCCATGGACTGCAAGAAGATCAAACGTATCCATTCTTAAGGAAATCAACCCTGAGTGCTCACTGGAAGGACAGATCCTGAAGCTGAGGCTCCAAGACTTTGGGCCCCTCATGAGAAGAGAAGACTCCCTGGAAAAGACCCTGATGTTGGGAAAGATGGAGGGCACAAGGAGAAGGGGACGGCAGAGGACGAGGTGGTGGGACAGTGTTCTCGAAGAGACCAGCATGAGGGAGGCAGTGGAAGACAGGAGTGCCTGGCGTGCTCTGGTCCAGGGGGTCATGAAGAGTCAGACACGACTAAACAACAACAACAAAATATCAGTCATTAAAAACTTCCCTAAACAGGGCTGCCTTCAGATTCTTTAAGTTTTTGTCTTCTTGGTTCCTGAGTTTTCCCGTCAGTTTTGCCATTTCGGCATAGTCCAGGCATAGGCAAACTCGGCCCTCCAGATGTTTTGGGACTACAGCTCCCATTATCCCTGACCACTGGTCCTGTTAGCTAGGGATGATGGGAGTTGTAGTCCCAAAACATCTGGAGGGTCGAGGTTCCTATGCCTGGCATAGTCTTAACAGCTTGGTTTGCCATTCCTCTCTGGCAGGGACTGAAATGCCGAGATGTAAGGGACCCCAATGGTCATCTAGTCCAGCCCCTCACCAGGAGGCGGGACCTTCTCGGGCGACCCTCTCGCTTGCTCAGGAGGTGATCTTGGGGGCATTTTTTTGAGTGAGACCGGGCGCTTGACATGCAGGAGACTCGTTCCTTCCCTCACTGCGCCTCCCCGTCACTGGTCCCTTCCTTCCCTGAAAGCGATTGGCACTGCTCGGAGCCCCCCAGCCAGGCTGGTGGCAATTCCCCGGGCATCTGGCGCACCCGCCTGGAGACTCTAAGATCCAGGATGGGGCTGGGCTGCTGCTGCTATGCGGCCACCCCTTGGAGACTGGCAGCTCCCGTTCTCTGTGCCCGTTTCGGACGGAATCAGAGAGGCGGGCGGGTGAGCTGGGATGCTCATCTGCGCTGCCTACTGGCTGAGCAGGGTTTCTTTTGGGGCCACCCCCAAGGAGCCCCTGCTACATTCAGCCCTTCTTCCTGGGGGTGAAGGGGAGAGGGTCAGACGTCTCCCTGGCTTCTGCCTGTGGGCCCAGCCCCCTTTGGCTACCAATACCCAAACCCAGCCAGGAAGCCTGAGGCGACTGTCTCAGCCAGCAGGATCCCCCAGGGCAGCAGGTCCCAACATTGATCTTTCCTCCGCCCTTGTTCCTTATGTAAATCTTCCATCACCACGTGGACGTGCCCAAGGATTAAGGCTTTCTGGGAGATGATATATAATGAAATGAAAAAGGTATTTAAATATACCTTCCCGAAGAAACCAGAGGCCTTTCTCCTGGGCATAGTCGGCCAATTGGTGTCAGAGAAGGATAGAACTTTCTTTATGTATGCCACAACAGCAGCAAGAATACTTATCGCAAAGTATTGGAAGACACAAGATCTACCCACCCTGGAAGAATGGCAGATGAAGGTGATGGACTATA